CACACACACACACACACACACACACACACACACACCCCACACACACACAATAACTTTAATGTAGTAGATATCTGCATCCATTGGATGTTGTGTTTAGAATCACCTGCTTCGTTTTAAGGTGGTAAAACAAATTGCTTGTATTTATTCCTTTCTACACACTTTGCAGATTATTTTTTCTGCACTCCACGTGTTTAATATGTGTGCACTCCGGTGGGGTGAAAATCATTAGAGTCGCGCTTTGGAGTGAGCGCGCATTCGGCCGTGCGTCGTCGCGCTATGACCGCAGGAGAAACGAGGTCCAGACTGATTTTCGTGCGTCCCACCTGAGCACTGACTTCACCTGCACTGACTTCACCTGCACTGACAGTCGCCTCGCTGCGTGGAAATGAATGGAGAGCGAGCGACATCGCCTCCCGTGTGTCGAGCCCTTCAAACATGCCGCGGCGCGCGCTCCTCCCGCAGCAGGCAGTGTGGTCGGTCGGCATCCGACGGGAGGACGCGCCGTCACGTAAACAGTTYGGCGTTCATTTTCACAGACCCGAACCAGGTCCAGATAAGTTTTTTCCCCCTCTTCATCTGCGCTCTCAGCCAGGCTGCTTCCCGCTTCCTCTGTTTTGACTCCAGCCAGTTTAGTCATCAAAAAGAAATGCGCGGTTGGCCGGTAGACTACAGATCTCTATCATAGGACAAATTTATATCGTTTCTACCGTATGTCGTTTATATCACATATTCCTACTTCAAATATGACAAACATAAAAAATTCTGTTATTTATTTATGTATTTATTTATCAACACAAAATTTCATGTCTTCATGTATAGCCTAAAGTCTGTAATTCTGACACAATTTGGAACAGATTTTTACAAAGAGCAAATCGTTTCCACTAAATTGGTCATGTGACTAGGACACAAGGGCATTAATTGTCWAATTAATCGTTATCGGCCAAATACCACAATTAATCGTGAACAATTTTTTTTGCCAATATTGCCCAACCCTAGGTCCTGTTTAATGAAACCTGGGCTCAAACCTGAAGCATCAGGATTACAACCCTGTGGCAATGACCATCAAATTACTGCAAACCCTAATAATTTAAAATCTAATTAAATTTACCATTAAAAAAGGCACAGGCTGTCTTCTATACTTGAATTGATGAAAACAAAATTCTAAACCAACAAAGAATAATGTTTTCAATTCACCGCTCTCCTGAAAACTTATGTTGACACTACTGGTTAGAATATTTAAAGAATATCCATGTCTGCAATGTCTGGTAATAAGTGCAACGTTAGACTGGTGAGAACAATACTCATAATAATCAAATGGATTAGGCTTCCAACATTGGGTTCACATGCATGATAGTGATCGTGTCACACAAAAATACATCATTACTAATTGCAAATATTGCTGACAGTTTTTCTGGCGATTAACTGCCCACAGCAGAATTTTGCCCAACTACAGTCAAGCTAGAACATTTCCTATTTCATTTTCCAGTTGTAAATGCTCTTTGTTTTTAAGTACGAGCTCTTAAAACAACTGTTTACCTTTACACACATCACAGTCTATGCTAGAGAAGTGTCCTGGAGAACATTTTTCAGATTTCCGTACTCAAAATCAGTTCTCAGATAATCATAATTTACTTTCATTGCACTTAAACACACATATAGTCTTGTTTTATAACGAGTCATAAAAGTGGCACACACTATGACCAAAAAGGACCTTTTGGACTGAGCAACAATGACAAAAAACATCTGTAATCCTTCTGAATTAATGACCTGTTTTTTTTTTTTTTT